GTTATCTACTAGAACCAAATTAACGCAGCAGCCAAGGCTCAAGGATTTGGGAACTTCCAAATCCTCTGAGGGGTAAGTTTGCTAAATAATGTAATTTCTGCCATTTTTTCTTTTCAAGATGAATAAAGACTTGGTGAAGGCATCACCTCTAGAAAGAATGTCTTAAAACCTCAACAGAAGGAATGGAAGGTAAACAACCAGCTTTATTTGCTTAAAAAGTAAGTTACTAATGCTGTGGAAACTGAAGGGTTTTAGACATTGGCTGTTTTTAATTTGGTGACCTGGTAGTAGCAGGAACTTGGTAAAATATAAAAAATGAACTTGAAGAAACTAGAAATAAGATTCAAAAATAAGTTTGGGAAGTAGTGTCTTGCTCTTAATATTTGAGGGAAAGGTAGAGAAAAGATAAAAATGGAGAAGCCCCTCACTATCTTGCTGTTCCTTTTCTCTTCCATTGGGAACAATAAGTAGCCTCTTGCACCCCAGTCTCCATGCACAAATTTCATCCACTCATCTCATGTCTCCCCCTTCAGTCTAGGTTTGTGTATTTTGACCATATCATCTTCCCTTGAGGATACACTTGGAAAGAGGGTGGTGCAGGACCTGGAAGGACTCTTTGGGCAGGAAATTCAGGAGCCATAGGAAATAGTAGCATCATCAATGGGGATAGCATAATCCCTTGCTTCCAACTACTCCTCCCCTATGTGAAGAAGCACAGATAGCACAGATGGAAGAGGTCTCCAGAGAATTCCAAATTGAGGAGACCAAGACAGGTAGCCCCATTATTAACCTTAGAGGAAAGTTTGTGTGGGGCAAAAGAGAACTACTTTCACAATATGAGAGGCTCCAAGAGCTGGGTGTAAGAGCCTAGGGTGGTTATGAAGAATGGGTAATTAGACATAGGACACAGGTTGGGCTAATATCTTTTAAGTTATAACACAAATGATTTTAGCTGGAGGCAAAACAACAACAAAAAATAAATAAATAAGAGAACAAACAAAACCCACTTCTTTTCCCCTAGAACCAGCTGGAGTGAGCAGTGAAATAGAATGAGTTGTGCCTTAGAACAGAAAAATCTGTAAGGAAGTATTGGAGCAGAAACCAGGTAACAATTGGTCATGGGGTTACATAAGGGATTCCTGCACTAGGTAGATGTGAGGTACACAGGAATTTTGAAAACCCGAGTTCAGGTTTTCAAAGGTATTCTCCTGATGACCTTGGTAATTCAGTGAAGCTACCTTTGAGAACCATGAATGATGTGGAGCAAGTGGTGCTGAGCCATGTGGGAGGTGGATATAGGGCTGAGCCGTGTTGGATATGTTGCATTTTCCCAGAGACTTTTATTAGAAGAGTTCTTTGCCTTCATGTCTTGAAAACTGCTTAATAACATGATCTCTAAAATCTTTCTATCTCTTAGCTTCTATGAGTTTAAGAAACTAGAAGTAGAGTCCATCATAAAAAAAAAAATCAAAGATAATGAGAAGTCAGACTGAATGAAAAACATTCATCACTAAAACTTTGAACAATTTTTAATCAAACATGCTATTCTAAAGAGACTCTAATACAAATCCAAAATACAATTTTTCCTGTCAATTTTAGTGCACTTAGCACAATTTTGTTCATTTTACAATACACGATTTTATTTTTAGCTAGGTTTATTAGAAAAATATACATTCATGGTTTAAAAAATTAAAGTACAAATTGGGAATAGTACCTTCTCCCCTGTTCTTACACAAAATTCTACTACCTACTTTAGTATTAATATTTCTTGTATATCTAACCAGAATTTTTCTTAGTATGTGCAAACATTTTAAATATATGTTTATCTTTTTTGTTAAAATTAGTATTAAGTAGTAAATATTACAAAGATGTATTACATCTATGTGTATGTGGGTATTTGTAGTGTGTGTGTGTGTGTGTGTGTGCACGCGCGCACACGTGGTTTAAATAATAATAAAGTGAATGCCTAGTACCCACCACTCAAGCAAAGGAACAGAATATGTCCAATACCTTTGATAATCTTTGTATTCTCCCCACCTACTCCAGTACTGGGGAATGATCTCAGGGGCACTTTATCCCTAATCTATACCCCTAGCTCTTTTAATATTTGAGACAGGGTCTGGCCAAGTTGTCCTAGCTGGTGTTAAATTTGCAATCATCCTGCCTCAGCCTCCCTAGTAGCTGGGATTACAGGTGTGCCACAGTGCCTGGATCTCTGGATTATTCTTGATGGCATTTCTCTCACCTGTATCACCTGGTAGTAAATACCATCTTAAATTCTGGGTTTGTCATTTTTATTTCTCTGCAAATAGTTTTTTCCCCCAGATTAATGTATGTCTAAATATTATACTATTTGTTATTTCAAAAAATTATATAATAAAATATTATTATGTTCATCATCTTACCTTTTTGCTTATGTAAAAATTAATTTTAAATTGGATTCCATTGATGGTTTCCTCTTTAATTCCATGTTAACTTCTTTTCACAAGATTGTATGCAGCCCAATTCTATTGTTTTAATGGTTACTGTAGACATTTTAACATTCATATATAACAATGGATAAATTTAGTAACTATCTTTACCTTCAAAACAAAAACTTAGAAAGTTTTGAGTTCAATTACTCCCCTTCCAACATTCATGTTACTTTTTTACAACAGGGTTTTATTTTCAGCTTACTTCTATAATATAAACATTTTAAATATTGTTCTATAGTTTGCTTAGATTGATTTATGCATGTACCTTTTTTTTGTTCAACATTTTGTCTTCCACCTCATATTTTTCCTAGAGTTATTGTTGAGTCATTTTCCTCCTAAACTACATCCTTTGTACATTTCCTTAGAGAGGTTGTTTGGTGCTTAACATTTTTTTTAAATTTAGTTGTAGATAAAAATTAATAAAGGTATTGTGTTTATGTGGTGCTGAGGATCAAACCCAGTGCCTCACACGTTCAAGGCAGGTGCTCTACCTCTGAGCCACAACCCCAGCCCTGGTGCTTAACTTTTTTAAGTTTTAGTTTCTCTCAAATGTCCTGTCAAATTCTATCAAATTTAACCAATTCCTGAAAATCACTTTCATTGACTATATATTCCTGAATGACAAATCAGCTTTAATCAGTACTTAGCATATTCATCTTTTTTCTGGTTTACATAATAACAATTGGAAAGTCACTTTATCTTTGATGTACTGCAGTTTCACGTTGGTGTATTTTGGTGTGTTATTTATTTTTATTTGTCAGAGTTGGAATTCATTGTAATTCTGAAACTCATGATTACATATTTTTACACATTCTGGAAAGTTGTTAGACATACTTCTTTGAATAATGCCTTTCCCTAATTCTCTATTATTTCCTAAGGATCTGAAGCCTTCTCATTTTATTCCTAATATTTTTATTTTCCAAATTTCCATCTCTTTGTGATGCAGTCCATTTAATTTTCTCAGCTCTCTATTACAAAGCACTAATAACTCTCTTCAGCTGTGTTCATTCTTTTGTTTATTTTATCCATTCATTTTCAAATTTCAATATTAACAATTTTTACTTTTCAAATCCTATTTAGTTGTTTCTAATCACTCTAAGCATATTTTATAGACATTTTTGGGATAATAATTTCAAAATGGTTTTATTTCTTTGAACACATACAGCTTACTCATTTTCTGATTGTTTTAAGGGGTAAATTTGGTATCTATTATTTCTGTAGACTAATGCTTATGATGGCTTATTGTTTGTTAGTGATTTTTAACTAAACTCTTTTATGGGAAATTTGTCATGAGAACTGTGTTAAAGTTTTGTAACTCCGAAGAAAATTTGGATTTGCCTCTGCCAGTTTCCTGGGGTCACCATCAAATTAAAAATAAATGATCCTATTGAGATTTTTAGGAAAAAAATGCTTGATTTAGTCTGCCAATATACTAACTTGTTTCTAGTTATAAAATCTCTGCTAAGATATCTCACTGACGCCTCTGTGGCATGATCTTTTTACTAATTCACATTTTTGGTGAAGATGTAAACATTTAAACACACAGACAAAGGAAAGACTCTCCTATTGGATATGTAACCCTGAAAATAATCCATACTTATCCCTTATAATTTGTGACTATCATTTCAATCAGAACTCAAGTTTAGTACCAGATGTGGGCAACTAATACCATTAGATACCTCTGAGCTCATTTCCTTCTCTGGATTCCTATTTATCTTTAATTTTTTCTGAGGATTTTGCCATAGATATGTATATAAATTATACACGTATATGATAAATGTATATATTAGTTAGATTTTATTATATCTTGTGGGAATTTTTCATTCTGTACAGTTCATAGTGCTTTCAGGAACTGATACTTTCTAAGAGTTTATAATAATCTTTCAAATGCCTGTTAAAGTTTTTTGATTTAACAATATATTCAACTATCTTCTTATATTAGTATGCATACATTTGTCTCACTTCTTTTACATGGCCGTATGATATTAAATACTATGGATAAAACATTTATTTAACACATTCTGTACTTATGAATATTTAGGATGTTTTCAGTGGTTATTATATATGTATATATACATATATACATGTAAATATGTATATATATACGTATATATGTATATATATATACACATATACAATTGTAATAAACTAATCAGCATATATGTTGTTTATTTGTATATCTACATTAAATCTATAGAATTAGAAATTCTAAGTGAAGGATGTGATAATTAAAGTTTAATGCTTATTTCCAATTTGCTTTCAGAGTTTGTAACACTAATTTGGGAAAGAAAATTCATCGTGCCTGTATCCTCATTGCCTTATCTACATTGGGCTTTATATGCACATTATTATTAATTTGATAAGTAGTTTGTCTTGACTTTATTCTGGCATTAATTCCATGGAGGTAGGGCATATTATTAAAATATGCATGGAGTGCTTTTAATACATGTTTTTCATGACAGAAGTGGAATGTATTCGAAGCAATTTTTCTAACATTCAGTTCTGAAATATAGTATGTTTGTGGCAATGTCAGTAGATCTCTCATCTGACTGTGACTGTCCTAACTGTTTGGAGGGTACTCAGAGTGAGTCTGATTCTAATTCCTCTTCCAAGAAGAGAGATAATGGCTCTTTATATTCAAAATCAAGGAAGCAATCCATGCCTTCTTTTAACATGCAATGCTCTCCCACTCAGTGTGGTTCATCTGGACTGGAGAGTGATAACAAAAAAGACTCAAGGTTTCTTCCATCAGAGCAAGAAAACACTGAGGAGTTTTCTAAAAAAAAGTCTCTCAGTATGAGCCCTGCGGATATCAGCACAAAAATTGGACCACTGAAAGAGCTGACTATCCAAGAATTACTGAGGGAGTTTGGGGATAGTGGGAAGTTGGAATCAAACTCCACCTCTCTGGGCCACTTTAGAGATCAGGTGGTTATGAAGTTCAGAAGAGCTCTGTATTATTCTGGAATCTGGGTGGCACAGGTCCGAGGTTACAAATATGAAAAGCACTTTTCAGCTAATTATTTCAAAAGAAATCCTGATAGCCTCCATCGGCTGATTCCCTGGCTGAAACGGGAACTAACAGCTGTTTATGGAGATTATGGCTACACAGTGAAGAACATTCTAGCCTCCATCCTCCATCACTTGAAAAAATATGATTTGGACAGCGAGTCCTTCATTCATCTTCTGGAACCTTATCTCCAACAACATACCCACCACTTCCTGCATGAGTTTATCAGTTTTGTTCAGTCACCTTACAACATGGAGACCTATGACCAGCGAGCCATCTATCATTGTCCTTCCATATCGACAGAAAATTGGGTGAAAAAGAAACCCTTTAGTTCAGCTCCTATTTTGCTCTTGACTGAGAATCGTGCTCTAATGAAATCTCAGCCTGATACAAAGCAACCTAAAAACACCCAGAATCAATTGAATGAGGAGAGATCTCAGTCTGATTTGAAACAGTTTCCAAGTGGTAACTCTTCCTTGAAAAGTTTTAAAATTCCACAAGTGCATCATGAAACAGCAATCAAAATCCCTGTTGGGACCAAAGACAAACCAGAGTCAGGCAATCACAAAGGCATAATTTCTACTAATAATATTCTGAATTGGGCTACTCCCAAAGAAAGAGATCTAGGCATAGTGACTTGCCAAAAAAAGACGCAAGAGAAAAAGACAGGGATAAAATTATTTCCTGGTTATGTCCAGGATCCAAAGAGTGAAACAACTGCATGTACCGTCAGTACTCCAGCCATTTCTAATCAGGTGCAGTCATGGAAATACAACCTGAGAAAAGGAAGGGTTTTGAGCCTTGGACAACAGAAAATAATTCATAAAAAGGAAGTAGAAAAAAATAAATACTCAGATTCTTCACCAAAGATTTTTCAGAGTTTGCCCAGAGAAAGATCCTTGATGAATTGCAAACCCAGAAAGAGAGACCCCTCTTGGAGTGGCATCTCAGAAAATAACCTGTCTCCTAAAAGGGATGGTAGAAAGCCAAGTTCATTCAGAAAAAAGAAAGTAAGGCGCAAAAAATCCTCTTCTTTTGTAGAAGTTGGTTCACACTCCAGTAGAAGACTCGAAAGACGTTCAAGGTCCAGTACTCACAGATCCAAATCCTGGTGTGTTGGACATAGAAAGAGATCTATAAGCAGAGAATCAAGTATCTCTCTGGAAGGAAGTCACAGTAGTGAACCTGTCACCCGGAATACGTGCTGTGCATCCTCAAAAGAAAGAAATATACATGGTAGCAAATCACACTATGAGAGAATATCTTTGACCCCAGTCCAATATGCAAAGCTTTCTTCAACTGCTGGGAAAAGACCCAATTGTCCTTATAAAGATGAAGGTGCTTCCCCAACTAGAAGTCACTATAACAGTTCCACATGCCTAGACATTGAGAAACATAGATCCCCAAGTAAACAGGAGATGAAGTGCAAAACAACTTTTCCAAGAGATAGAAGAACCAAAGCAGTTAGGCACAGAAAAAACAAGTGCCCGCATATAGATAAACAGATCCCAGAGAAAGTTGGTGATGCACTGGGGGATCTGGATGATATAAAGCAAGTGAGCTGTGTCTCTGAATGTGCACCTGCCTGCCGGAGGCAAATCCCCCCAAACCAGAAGTCAAGTCTTCTGAAAGGTCTTGGATGGTCAAGCTAAGAATGAACACAAAAGAGACACAGTATCAGAAATACAGAGTCTGAATTTTGTTGAAAGGCAAATCAGTCTACTTAGCTAGTCCCCGAGGATCTTTGAAAGTCTGAATAAAATCTGAAATCATCACTAAAAATATTTATTCCATCCTTTGTAACTGGAACTAACAGCCTGATGACTAAATTCAAACTCCCTTTTGGAGATAAGTGTGTATTATTAAATTGTTTGTGTATGTAAATATTATTTGTCTCCCTTTCTTAAGTGAATAGGATTCTTAAAATATGTGACTGATTGTTTAGTTTCCAGATTTCACTATGAAGATTTCCCAAGGTTCCAAACGCCATAAACACTATCCCAACCGTGAGAGTATAAGTTACTTAACACAAGTCATGTGTATTAAATATGTCACTAAACAAAAGTGTTATTTTTAAAGATAATATATATTGAGATCCATTAGGCTTCAGACCTAATGTATTTTCAGTCCCTGGAAAATAAGACAAGGTCATTGTCTTAAGATATAGTCATTGGGATTTCTCAGGTGAGCTGTGAGAATAGATGTAAATAAAGCAGCAGAAAATGAACTACTATGGGATTTTTTGACACAGTCTTCCCTATCTTCTTCCTAGAAAACTACATCCCCACATGTCCTGGCATGGATTCCTTCCCTTGAAGCTGTCATGGTTTTAGAAACCTCCGATTCTGCATCCCCAGTAGCCTGGTCCAGTGATGGTGACTGCACCAAAGCTAGCTTATCCTAGTATTCTGCCCCTCTGGTCATACGATGATGAGTCAGTCAGTGCTGGCCAACTTAGAGTACTTCCCTGAGATTGTTCAAACTGGTTCAGAGAAAAAGAGTTCTTCCATCTTCATGAGTGGACAATGAAAGCTTTAGGGTTTCAGTGCTCTTAGGAGCTATAGTTCTCAATTTGTAAAGAAGTTTAAGGTAAAAGGAGAGAAAGCTAACAGAGAAAAGTAAGATGAGGCATAAGGAGAGTCTTGGAAACAGATCTGGATCCTCTTAACCTGTCATCCTGTCCTTCATGTGGTTTTATGATTTTAAACCTTCCCTAAGCTTTGTGGGCCAACACATTTCTTCTATGTCTCCCTTAATCAGGACTTTCAGTCACTTGTCATCAAGTAACTCCTGGGAAGCACCATGATAGAAGTCTATGAGAAAATAGACAGGAAGCAGCCATTCTCTTGGGGAAATTTCTGAAGATTTTTTTTTTTTTTTTGTATAATCTTAAAGAGTGAGTAGGAGTTTGCTAGGTGAGTTTGTTGGCAAGAGCTGCCAAAAATAAATAAACAAATAAATAAAAATTAAAATTAAAAAAAGAGTGACTTGTAGGGAAAAAAAGACAAATTTTCTAGAAATTTCCTCCTAGTGTAGCTGGGAAATCCCGAGAGTTACACTAAGAAGGGAGGCTGATGCCAAATTGTAAACAGGAACAAAAATCAGCCTATTTAAAGTCCATAGCAGTCACCAAACACTTAACAAGTAGCATAGGACTCAAAAATGAAATTATTTTTAGAGTATTTTAAAAATAATCAAGATATATTCCTGTAACAAATATATAAATTTGTTACAATGCATTCAGTTGTAAACATTGCCATGGTTTCGTTAATGCATGTTTTGATCAAGTTAGGTAAGCAGTCTAAACCATTCATGGTGAAGATTCATGCGAATATATGCAAAGTCCTGAAATTAGGAATAGGAAATCATTTATAGTAGTTCAAAACAGCAGCAGCTCATTTAACTTATTATAGTAAAAAGTGTACTTATATGCCAACAACATTAGACTGAATTCAAAGAATATAGAGAATTTCTGTAGTTAGGGAAAATCGAAGTTGACATCTGAATGTTTTCGATTAGACAACTGAATGTTCCCTAGCAAGGGATATTTCTCATGAATGATTTGGAGAGCAAATCTGGCTCCATTTAAGGGGAAACTTGTGAGGAGGTGATTTCTGCTTAATCAAAGAAAGCTTGTCCTTCTCACACAAAAGTAGTTCAGAGCAGGCATATGGTAGAGCAAGAGGCCAGGGAGAAAAGGAACTCTCATCCTTGGAAGTGTTTATGCTTGGCAGAACCCTAGTGGTGAAGGAGATCTGACTATATGTTGTCTAAATTCCCATTTAACTCAAAGATTCCACTAGAGTCCCATGAATTTACTAATAAACCAAAAAAATAACATACTCTCAAACAAAGTAACAACTTCCTTGGATGGAAGAACAACTAACTAAAACACTTAATGGTAACATGGTAACAATAACTAATAACAAAAGTTCTTTATTTGTGATTTTATACCATACAAGCTCTGAGGTATTACTTTAATATGCATTTATAATGAAAGCTCATAAAACAAAATTGTTGCTCTTATAGTCTGATTGAAACTCAGATAGTCCCAACTCAAGAGTCAATGATCTTAAACCACAATTGGACACTACCTACTTTTTGCTTGTTGAATTTTTCCTTTATCTATACCCACACCCTGTTGTAAACACATTAATAAATACTATGTCATTTTACTTTTACCACAAGTGAACAAGGTTATTTTAATTATGCTGTGTTTTCAATGAAGAAAATGAGAGACTATGTCATAACAACAGTTGAAAGCCAAACTGTAGGTCTAACTGCACACGCTTTGCATTTTTATAGCTTATTATGGTTGACTGAGCTTTTCAAATTTAATTCAGTAATCCTTACAACCCTTAGTCACCTAGTCTTCTTTGCTACTGAGTACTTTCCATTCAAAATCCAGGGAGCTAACATAACCATGAATGGTAAGGTGCTAAGGGGTCACTTCTATGTATTTATGAGAATAAAAACCAATTCCTCATTCCCAAGTTCACCCTGAATTGTACTTTGGATGCTAATGGAGTTCATCTCATCCAGTTGGGAGGAGGGAGGTGACTGATTTTCAATACACATGCTTCAGTTCACACAGTATCTTCTGTGGTGTGTGGGTTAGTGAAATCCTTTGAGGTCCAGGGCCAGTTTTTATCTCTGTCCTCAACACTCCAGTGCTCTTTGGACTGATGGTCCTTGAGGTACATCTCATTTATCTTACAAGCATGTAAGGGGAAATGAAATGTCTGAAGATACCTGAGAGTCATCATCTTCTATCTTTCTGCCATGCACAGTTTTGCTAATGTATAATGCAGCCACTGCATACAGAAGGCCTTCAATCTGTCCTCACCAAAACCTTTAGAGTAGCCTCCTGTTTGGTTTTCCTGACCCCAGGCTCTCTCTTTCCAGATAATCACAACCACACTGCTACTGACATTCTGAAATACAAATTTATTCATGTATTTTCCCTGCCTAAAATTCCCCACTGGTTCCCTAATTCACAGAGGATACAATCTAAATGATTTTGTCTTGCATGTGAAGACCCTCTAGCCTCAACCCATTATTCTTCTCTCCATTAGTCCTGAACAGAAACCACATAAACACAGATATGAATGTCACATGCAGAACATACACATATCTTAATATCTATATACATTGTCTCTTTCTGATAGAGCAGAATTTTTCTATCTTAGATAAATACATTCCTCTCACAACACTTGCTCCAGTATCTTCCATGGGATAGTTGTTCAATAAACATATTTCCTCTAATTGTTCTGATATTATTGAACTGCATGCTTGGATAAGTTAAGTTCTCCGAAGTTCAGTTTTCATTCAATTTTTGAACCACTAATATCATTCTCTGTGAACAATGCCCTTGCCTCACATATGAGCCCTATCTCACACTTACTTCTCCATGCCAGTGGTTATGACCGGATTCATCCTTCACACTCACCTAGACTTCTTTATCACATTATTGGGGTCTAGGTGGATTTCAAATTGTTGCCTGACCTGTAATATAATTTGGATTTGGAAAAACTCTTCTAGAGGACCTCTAGATTTCTAATATTTTATGAATCTTTGCTTTTTAATTTAGCTCTACTAGTGAGCTACTGGGAGTATTGTGCAATTAAGTAATAAATTTTGTCACACAATTCCAAAGTATAATTATAAAGCATTGTTTTGGAAATGCTATCATGTGCTGTTTTATCTCATTGACATACAGCTTATAGATTAATTATAAAGTATCAACACAGGTAACTTCAATAGCTTCAGTAATATTCTAATTATAGAGTTGCTTAGTTGGTTGACATTTTTTATATTAAACGTTACAACAAATGTGATATAAATATTTTTATATATCAAATATCATACAAAAACATTTTGAAATAGTAAGTATAAACATAGAATCTTCATATTTATCAGGGACTCAGAAGAGTAAGATAATAAATACAGAAACTGAATGTCAGAACAAGCAAGGAACAGATGCAGTAGCCTACTTGCAGATGCAAGGTGGTGATCAATCACTCCTTTGCTTATTAACTCTTTACTGTTTCCCAATCTCTATTGTAACAGGTCCTTTGCTTTTTTTTCCTCTTTTTCTCCAACCAAAATGTCAATTCTTCCATCAAGCCAGACCATTGCCTATCTCCATATCTACTTTTTACATTCAGAAGTTCTTAGGTCCACTCCAACGCTTACTTTCTAGAATCCATTCAAGCAAGATCTTCTCTTTGAAGGTGTGCTTAATATTTTCCCAACTGTCAAGGTATTACAAGTGAACAATCACTTTCTTTGTGTCCGCAGGCTCCACTCTTATGCCAACACTACCTCTGCTGCCATTTTCATGTTGTTCCTAAACCTACTCTCCTCTTACCCCTCCTTCTAAAATGAGCCTAAGACAAGGACTAGGTTTAATGGTACACAGTAAGTGCTTAGTGAATGCTGAATAGATAAATTGAATTATTAAGTATACAGAACAATGTTTTAGAAGTGAATTGACTAGTATCAGTGACTGTAAGAGCCATCAAGAGTAACTGTTTCAAGTTAGGCTGTGGCCATGATATCCAATGTGATCCATTCCAAACACTCTTCTTTTTGGGAACCTAAAACTAATTCCACTATACCCAGGCAAGAAAAAGCCCAAGGAGATTCTAAA